TAGGCTTATATTTATTTTCAAAATCTATGCGTACTATACGCCGGATGCGTATTATACGAGCAAAAAACATGATTTTTCGGTAATTATTGAATGCGTACTATACGCCGATGCGTACAATCTCCCGATATTCAGGGTAATATTAGAGATATTTTATTATTTATATAATTAATTGTAAACCAAATTCTTAGACTTTAATGTCTTCTCCCAAACAGTCATAAAAATAAGCACTTTTTATGATTTATTTTGTGTATTAAATATTAAACATTAAGTTTTTATGGCTTTAACTAAAATATATTCCGGACGAAACTTTCATTCATTTATTCATTTACTACTCAATTGAGTGTTACTCTCTGTAATGTATAAGCAATTCAATTATGATTTGTTACAAAATAAAATAAATAGCTCTCTCTCTCTCTCTCTCTCTCTCTCCCCCCCCTTTTTCTCTCCTCTAATTCTCAATTGTCTACAAATTAATAACAGACTTATGATGTGAACAGAAGTGTTGTGTCAAAAGTAGGAAAAAAATTAAAGGAATAAATCGAATGCAAAATCCAATTATTGGCTTATCTTAAGGGAAATAAATTGTATAACAAATGAGATGATCTCTCAATTAGTGTTATGTTAACTCTTAAAGTAAAATGAGTTGAGACTCACTCACGGGTAGAGAAATAGAATTGCTGTTCAGTTAGTAGGGATCGAAACGGCAGAGAGAGAGAGAGAGAGATTGACGTTGAAAAGAAAGAGAGAGACATAAAACTATAGCATAAGAAAGGAGAGAATGGGAGTGAAAGAGAAAAAGGGAGAGAATATTGTGTGGAGTAGTAAATGAGTGCATCGTTTTTGCCTCGACTGCCATACCATTGCATACCATATAAAAGATGTTCGTTTGATATAATGAACAAAACTATCCGTTGATTGATATTGCAATCAATGGAATTCGTTACACATATGTATAGCACTTGGATTGAGATGTCGGTGCGATTTGGGAGAGAGAGAGAGACTGAGGGAAAGGGAGAATAGAATAGTAGGCATTGAATGCAATGAATGTTTCGCTTTATATGTGTTATTATAGAGAAGTAGAGTCTTATATTGAGTGTCAAAATCTTATTATTCATCGCAAAACTTAATATTATATCCAATTCTTATGAATAAATTATTAATCAAATGAACAGAAAGTTTGGTTCAAACGAGAAAAATATGATATAAGAGAACAAGCATTTATCACTGGATATAGAAATATAAGAGTTTCACGATTTTCTTGTCTTATATTCAGCAACCAATACAACATTAAATGCAATATTAAAACAATAGCCTGTAAATAATGAACAAATAGTTGTACTCATTGAATTGAATTAAACTTTTATTTTATTTATTCATTAAATATATTTTCAATAATTCATAGATTTTTTATTTGACTTTTTTTTAATAAAAAATATTTAATAGAAAAAAGATTTATTGACAAAAACTTATTATATATTTAAAAAAGTCTTTAACACTCTTTCTGGAAATTTATATTTATATTTATATTTGGTTTTGATTATCAATTTATTATTATTATTATTATTATTAATATCCTATACCGGAGTTGTCTGTGGAAAGGATGTACTCAACTGTAGATAGTTTGCGGTCGTCTATGGATCGGTTGAATAAAAATATAAAATATATATAAATTATTATTACTAACACAAAGTTTAGGTTTCAATATATAGAAAAATGATTGATTATAAATGTATTGAAATGAACACTATTTTTCATTAGGCAAGGGCTGAGCCAAGAGAGGGCTACTTTCCAATACATCTATCATATGCTTTACAAACTTATCATTTATTAAAATTTACTATATTTTTATATCCCTACCGTTTATATTATGCCATAACACTAATTCCTAAGTTAGTATTCCTTAATCCATTTGCTATCATTTTATTTTTGTCTAAATATTGAGTGTCGCCTAAAACTAACCATACCTATGGATATCCAACTTAAATATTAAATAGATGACTAAATGACATTTTTTGGCAATAATCCGATTGTACTAACGATCAGGAATTGACATATAATTAAGAATCAGTCTGTAAATCGCAAACTGAGCCCTAATCGCTAAAAATGTCATATAATAACTGTTCAGTGAATGCATGGCTGATGTGAGCATTAAATAAAGTAATTTTTATGTTAAAAATTATTGGAGTTTCTCTCGACTAAAATGTTATATAATTATTGGAAGTGAATGACTGACTGAGTGTTTGAAATGTCATAACTATATGCAAATAAAACTCATATATACCTCCATATCATTTGTATTATCAATGACAGGATATTTGGCGACAAACGTATCCAAACACTGGTTGTGATGGGTTTGGACGAGTAGGACATTATCAGGGCCATTATTGGCACTTTGATGACTCCCATTAATAACCGACACATGATTTGTATGATTTGTTAATAGATTTTTGTTAACAATTCTGTGCTCGTTATGTTCATCCAACGCAACATTAGTAATAATAATATCTCGATATATTGATAATGAATTATTAGCATTAAATCCGTTATCACACGAATTGTCATCAATAATGTGGTGATCATTACTGTAGAAGACGACACCATCGCATGGAATTACATCCGGATGTGCAGAGCCGTCAGATGTGGCTATACTGTCATCACTTGTCTTAGTGTTAGTTTGCGATAATTTTTTATTTTTGTACTTTTTCTTAGTAGTCTCGCGAGTCCTACCACCGCCCGATGTTGTACTACACTGTTCACTGTCTGAGCCGGCACTACCACTACCACCGTGTAGACTACCAGTGCCCGAGAATTTGTTCCGCTTTCTGTTGTTTTTTTGTCGCAAAAAACACAACACTATTGTTATCGTAATGAGTATCGACAGGATTATCAATACGACAGTCAGTAATGAGATGAGAATCACAAGAATCCTATGCGAAGAGTTGGTGTCATTTGTCTGCTGTTGCTGTGAATCCGGTGATATCGCCGGCGACTTGAATGAGGGCGGCTCTGCAGCTGTCTCCGACTGCACCATCATGGTCACCTAGGTCACATCCACACATCATATATTATATCAGTTCATATACACCATGGTCATCATTCAATTGCTAATATAATTCAGTACATAATTGTATTATCCAACAAATTCAACACATTTACAGTACAAACGTATGCCTCACTTAACAATTAATTAATTACTTAAACCCTAAACAAACTAAATTTGATTATCAGTTATGTATTGCATTGTAAAGTGTATTCATTGTGTGTGTGTTTCTAAAGTATAACCGTTAGATATAAATGAATTATTGTTTGCAAATAAAATGAATTAAATTTATGGTAAATAAAATGAGATTACAGAGGCTTAGAGAATTGCAAACATTTATTTTTATTTATCCTAATTATTAGTATGTATTTGAAATGTATGTGCACAAATTTTCCAATAAATTAGTTTCTGATTACTACACATTCACTAGCATTTTACACACAAATTAGTGTTTATATTGTAATCCAAGATTCATTTGAATTCAGGCGATGTTTGCATTTTACTCAATAAATGACAATTTCTTTGAATAAAGTACTGGCAATAGTTGTGTTGAATTGGTTGCGGTTTTGGGATTCAATTACAATTAAGAGGACACGTCTTATCATACAATACCTCATTGCTTACACCAAAAGGATTGGACACATAGACAACGAGTTGATATATAGGCGCCCATTGCATGTCTGTCACATTGAAAACTGGTTCAACACTATTAGTCTGATTGATAATGAGCTTAGAGTTATGCGAATCGCGGACTTCCAGATGAAAGTGAGTCTCTTTTGTGAAGAGCTGTGCACTCGTCTCAGACAAGTGCGACAAATGCGTGCACTTTATGGCAAGGCTTCGGTAGCCGGTGTTCACCCGACAGTCCGACACCGGCTTCGGCACACTCTGGCCACTGTCTGTCAGGTTGAACACACAGGGAGTCAACTGATTGGATCCGATCCAGTTCTGCGCCCAACACGTATAGGTGCCGAAGTCGCCCACCAATGAAGGAATTATCGTCAGTTTGCTTCGCAAGGCTTTGCTGGAGATGGCGATCCGGCGCCTGTCCTCTATGTTAGACGAGTGCCAAAAGAAGGTCACGTTCTCCGGATTGGCGTCCACTTCGCAGAAGATGTTTGTCGGGTAGGAAATGGATGTCTCTATTATGCGCTGCTGTGATACACATCGGGGAGCGACTGTTGCAAACATATCCGTGCCGTACAATTCAGGAGAGAAAGTGGTATTCATTTTAATTATTCGTCAGAAATTTAATAAAATTTTTAGTGAAAATAAATTCATTAATTCTTAAGCCATTCCTAGTCTACACAACGGTTTCGCTACAAATTCCCGTCAATTTCAGACACGAATGGGGAGGGCTTATAGGGGTCACCAAATAACCATTTGCAGGGCATTACAATATTTATGGCACCGGTATATTCCGTACACCAGTATAATAGATATATCTATCCTATTGAAAGGCACAGAGATAGAGAGAAAGAGATGGATATTTGGCTCTTTTCACATGTGATATCGATTTTGAGTGAAAAATCGTTAAATTAGATTATTTTTGATCGAAAAATCTAAAAACAGTTGAGAACAACAAAAATACACATAAAACTATAGTTTTCTAAGCCATAAAAGTCCGTAATGTAATCGAGCTAATAGTGAAATGTAAACTCCCCCTAAAGTCATAGTAGACCCTGGTCAGTATTGTTTTCTAAACCATTATATCTTCGCTATATATAAGTATAAAAGTCTCCAAAAGTGTTGACTTGACTACAGAATAATCTCAACTATTATTACTATTATTATTATTATTCGCTTAAAACTAAAACTATAATCAATTTTAATGAAGACAACAAAATATAATATAATATAAAGTTGTGTTTATTTTTGACACTAAATTCAAATTAAAATTTAATTTAAACTTTTTTATTGAATATAAAAATTCCTTTATACGTGTTTTTCTACATTAATTTTATTTTATAATATTATTGAAACTCAAAGTTAAAAGATAAATATTAATAATGTAAACGCCATTAACAGAAAATGGCTTTAAAAGTAAAAATATTTCTTTTTATTATTTTTTATTATATATAAAATGTACTGAAATTTATAAAAATTTTGCTCTCTTTTTGATCTCAAATGCACTTTAAGTATAAAAAGTTAAGTATTTTTAGGCGAAAATCTACTTTTATATACATTATTTCATAGCATAGTATAGAAACAAATAATAATTTTCATTCATTTGACGAGTTTTCCAAATACTGTTACCGTATATAAAAAATATAGCAATTTTTGATTAGAGTTTAAAATGAGGCAAACATTGCTATTTTATTTGTACGACAAATAAAATGTTAGAAATTAAATAAATTTCAATAAACTGTGTGTTCAGACATTTACAAAAAAGAGATTAAAATTCAAATACTAAACTGAATATAATCAAAATATTTGCTTTCGGAAATAGCTTTACATTTTGTAATTAGAGTAAAAGTTTTTAAAACTTGAATTTAGTGTCATTTTTTATTTAAATCAATAAATTTATTGTAACAAAATCCTAGCGAAAATCTCTTCATATAACCATTAATAGCAAAATATATCATTTCTTATCGATAGTATAGTAATATAAAATGTACTGAAATTTATAAAAATTTTGCTCTCTTTTTGATCTCAAATGCACTTTAAGTATAAAAAGTTAAGTATTTTTAGGCGAAAATCTACTTTTATATACATTATTTCATAGCATAGTACAGAAACAAATAATAATTTTCATTCATTTGACGAGTTTTCCAAATACTGTTACCGTATATAAAAAAATATAGCAATTTTTGATTAGAGTTTAAAATGAGGCAAACATTGCTATTTTATTTGTACGACAAATAAAATGTTAGAAATTAAATAAATTTCAATAAACTGTGTGTTCAGACATATACAAAAACGAGATTAAAATTCAAATACTAAACTGAATATAATCAAAATATTTGCTTTTGGAAATAGCTTTACATTTAGTAATTACAGTAAAAGTTTTAAAACTTGAATTTAGTGTCATTTTTTATTTAAATCAATAAATTTATTGTAACAAAATCCTAGCGAAAATCTCTTCATATAACCATTAATAGCAAAATATATCATTTCTTATCGATAGTATAGTAATAATCATTACATCCATCGCTAGTCTCTGAATGAGTCTAATAATTATCAAACGAGACATCAGAACAAAACAATGCATTTGAAGGGACGACAAGAGATAGTGAGTGCAAAGAGATAGGAAATTGTGCTTAAAATTTGGTCTTTATATATAACTTATAGATATATTGTGCGCAAAATATATTTCAAAAGCCATTTCAAAATAGTGTTCACTTTTGATGGCAACTCTCTCCCAGTTTTTCGCATTCGCCAACAAAAAAGAGATGTCTTTCAGTTTTTTGTGTTATTTTTATTGTAAGAGTCATTACTTACAGAAGACTTGAACAAAGAGTTCGGCCGAATCTCCTCTTCCCTCACTATTATAGGCCACGCATTGATACCTTCCTTCCGATTCGCGTCTGGCGTTCTTCACTATAAGCGTATCGTTTGCCACGATAATACCTGTCCGTCCATACCATACCGCACCATACCATGTGCCATACCATGTCATCCCATAGACACATTAAAATCAATACATCAATGCCTTTGATTACTTGAATAAACTAATGAATGCCAGAGAATAGAGTCGTTGTTCTGAACACAGCTCTTAACACAACATTCAATCAATTGAACACAAAAAAAAGTATTACTAAATGAATGCATTGCTTAACAATTGCTAACCTGTGCTATACTTTTGCTTTTTTCTTGTGGTAAAATTGAGTCAACGTTAAGAGAAACTTTTAATTCAATTCAATTCTCTATTCTAATGTATATTTTAGTGGTTTTCACATAAGTTCACAGCAATTCTTGACTCTTAGATATTGAAATATTTTTCATTTTTCTATTTGTATGAATTAAAAGCAAATTTTTATCTCACTTTTATGGATAGATTGAACGAAAAATATGCAATTTTTCGCTTAAAAGATATATTCAAACTTTTATCGATAATTGTTTCTATAACACATTTTTAGAAAACTTGTAATCAACTATAAATTTTAATGCATTTGTCATACATTTGTCTCTATTCTGAGTGCATATTATCGTAATAAAGTAGTGATAATAATAAGTATGAGTTTTGAATTTCAAGCCATTAGTAAATATGTGTATATATTCCAGAAATAAATTGACTAAATTTAATGAATACAAAAGAGTTATACAATATTATACTACATTCCGTATACAATATACTGTATAACTACTGAACAGTGTTATAGTGTTTGACACAAAAACTGTGCTAACATTTAAAAATTAACGCTAATGTTATTCAAGTAAAGTATTACCGCTACTACTGTTTCCAGTGGCACTGCATTAGTACAGAATTACTACAGTTGTAGTTAACAGTAGAGTATGTTTGCTGTAATTGGTATAAAGTGTAACTAATTCCGCGAGTCATATGGATTTGTTCCTGATGCTAATACTAATGGCTAATGCTTATGTTTATTCACAGAATATTCTGTACTCAACACTCATAGGTGCACAACACCTCCTCTGCCAATACCTTATGTTTTGTTAAGCAGTTGTCATACCTTTTGCCACATTTTCCTTCAGCTCTTGCTTATTGAATAGCCATCTAATATGCGTTGGTTTGGGATTAGCCCTCACTTTACAGTTCAGAAGAATCTCATTCGACTCATTAACGGTCGCCACAGAGGGATCACCAGTAGATGAACCAGTAGTTAGCGTCACGTTTGGCATAACTATTAGGGGAACACCAGTCCGTAGGGGAGAAACGGGAGATGAAAGACAATTTTCGTATTAATTTAAAATGCAATTTCAATTTATGTCTTATTAATTATAATGCAAACTATACGGCACTATAGGGTGAATAGCAGTGTGAATACTGCGGGGAATAGCTGTTGGTAGAAAAATGCAAAACAATTTTCAAAACCATTTTGACTTTAATGGTGTGAAAGTGTTTTCTGAAAAATATTGAACACTATTTATCACTGGATTTCTCGCGACTCAAACGCCTGCCATTGCCTACCAGTGCCGAGTCGTTTGCAGGGACTGTACAGCGCTGTCAGTATTATAAAGATTATTATTGTGTTAAATGAAATAATAAATTTGGTGCCAATAGAGTCAAACTCGGATCTCCAGTTTTATGGAGATTTACGTATTACTACTCCGATATCATAGCCAACACAACACACTGAGTGTTATTATATGAAGGGCTCAATACAATCGCCCGGCGCTTGTATTGTGTGTGTTATATGTGAGGAGAAGTTTAAGAGCAAAATCAAAGGGGAGACGAGAAAAATAGATAACTTCTTATCAAATCAAATCAAGTGTTGTCTTACATTTGACGTCAAGATTTATGTGGTCTTCGGTGGCACTGTTCGATAATTTGGGATTTTCTGCACGACATCGGAGGAGAGACGAGAAAAATAGATAACTTCTTATCAAATCAAATCAAGTGTTGTCTTACATTTGACGTCAAGATTTATGTGGTCTTCGGTGGCACTGTTCGATAATTTGGGATTTTCTGCACGACATCGGAGGTCCAAACCATTATCTTCAGGCGTCGGTACAAATGTTACGATACTTTTAGTGCCGTTGCCCTCAAAATGAATATCTCTGCCAAACAAGACAAACGATTTTTTTTGAATTAAATAAGATTCTCAAACACTATAACTCTCTCTCTCTCTCTCTCTCTCTCTCTCTCTCTCTCTCTCGTCTAACGTAAAAATAAAATTCAATTTCAGAGCTAAATGTTTTGAAGCTAAATAAAAATTTGTTTATCTTATGGCAAAATTGCATAAATATAAATACAAACATCAAAATCAATTATTAATCCCAAATTCAAGTTTACGTATAATTAAAATAAATGAATCTTTTTTGATGGCAGAACTCAAACATAATTTGATTTTTAATGACTAACTATTAGAATAAGGATCTCTTTTGGTATAATAGCCAAGATACATTGTACATAAATGGCACAATTGGTAGTGCCTATTGTGCTGCTCCTATTTTTATGTAAGCCATAGATTTTAAATCATTAATTTAATGGTATATTGATTTTATTACTACTTTTTGGTGTTGTATTCGATATAAACTTTCATCAAAACAATAGATAAAAGCAAAGATAGTATCGATTATTTGGCAAATTTTTCTTTGTTTGCCGAGAGATAAGTCCATTGCAATTATAAGGCAATTATTGTCAAAATGGTTACACTTCTCAACATTTACTACAATATTCAAGTGATTGTAATATTTGTCGTGAAGACAATTACATAAATAATATTTCATGGGATTACGTGATTTAATTAATAGTGATATAATTGAGATGATAATTGATGTCTTACTTGGATTCCGTTAACTTTCTCTCATTTATGAACCACTGGACGACAGCCGCCGGTTTCGATCCAAACGTATGACAAATGGCCTCAAGTTTTCTACCGGCAGTCAATCGGTCTTTATTGAGGGCTACGATCATGGCTTTGAGGGGTCGGACTGTCCAAACAAATTACACAATTCCCATCAACTCATCTAACGCTCGTAAATATTTTATTTTATATGTTTTATTTGTTTTTATGGCCAGAATTTATGTCTTCACGTCAATAATATATAACATATATTTTTCATGCATTTTTACAGATAATAGCCATCAGTGCTAATGGTTTACAAGTTGTGTAATATTTTCTCAACAAAACCAATGGAAATGTTAAATAAATACTTAGCAAAAGCTAATATAATATATGAAATGATTAATTAAATTATTAATTATAATCACTATAAATAGGGAATGAATTGAAGCCAAACAGAAATAATTTAAGTTGAAATAAAGTCAATGAAAAATGATTCATTAATTATATGATTGTATGACTTAATACTGCAGTTATTTAGCAAATGTTTTAGAGTTGTGCGAAAAATAAATTTAAATATGCATTCATTATTTAATTTACTGAAAGTGAAGTAGAAATTTGCTCAATCATATAAATAATAAATAAGAAATTGCTGCAAACTAAACTAAATGTCAGAAAATATAAACAAAAATCGTGCAAACTTTGAGACAAAACACAAGTAAAAACTTTAGTTAAACGTTAGGATAGGAGTATAAAGTGTGTGTTTATTATATAATCTGATAGCCTGTGTGTCCGAGAAATGAAAAAACAATAATTGATTGGTATGTGTGTTGTATGGGAGAAGGTCTGCGATTTACTTGTATTACACACAGTAATAATTAATAACGATTAAGGGGAACGGCATGTGTTGGTGTACCGATAATTAACTTACGATTTATATCAATTGTGATGGATTTGACGACAGCTTTGGTGAGTTCACTGTTGGCCGCGTGACACCTGATGACAGAGTTGATGTCACCCCTGGCTATCCGTTCCAGTGTTATGCCGGACACCACTGTGTTATTGTCGCGTATCATAACCGTCTGTGTCTTCAATTTCCTATTATTTCTATACCATGTGATGGTCGCCAATGGATTACCTGAGCCCACAGCCAATACCAGTCAATATTCGCTAGTAATCACTGTTTTTGCTTTTTTTCAGCACTAATTCGCTGCGAGTATATAACATACAGAATATTCTGTCACTCTATTCTAATGCTGTGACACTGTTTTTATTGCTTAATTGCAGCCATTTTTCACTCACATTTCACTCCTTCACCAATCGACTTATTTTGAATAATTAATTAATTAATGAAATAGTGATTAAATATTTATGAATCTCTCTCTCTCTCTCTCTCTCTCTC